TCTACCTTGCAGGACCAACACCATTGTCTCCTGTACAACACTGAGTATACCCAACAGAACCTGAACTGACCTTATAACAACATTATATTCTCTCCAGCAGCTCTGCCTACAGCTTATTAGGTAGAACAAGATAGACTTGACTGTCGAACATGTACAGACTCACTGAAGAGATCTCAAAGAGTATTCTTTGGAGTAAGAAGAACTTCGACCCGATGGCCGGTAAGAATTTTCTTGAAATCACACAGACGGCAATTACCAACTCTTGTCCATGTAGTGATGATTGTCTCACTTACATTACTTGTTATTATTATTATTTTTTGTATTAACTTCATTCCTAGTTGATTTAGTACCATAAGCTGGTAAAGTGGGGGAGCTGTATTAAATAGCTGTAAAGATAAAGAGCTTCAATATACTGAAGACACCACATGCAGGTATTGTTATCAGTAATAGTAAGTGTTGTATACATCTAAAATACCTTAATGTAAGACAAATACAATGATAAAATACAATAAATCAGGTAAATGAAATACAGCAAGCTCTTAAAATTTGTGAGGGTTTGGATCTCAAAATGGCCATGAATAACATTTGCCCTTAGGACAATTATTTTTTTTTACCTGTACAGTATTGTGTGCAGACACATATACACAACAGGTAAACGAAATTACTGTGTATAAAATAAATGGCTCCCTGTCCCGGCTGATAACAAGTGTCCACAGACATTGTTGGGTATGGTTGAGAGTTAACAAAGAGCTGCTGTGTTATCTACCTTGCAGGACCAACACCATTGTCTCCTGTACAACACTGAGTATACCCAACAGAACCTAAGACAATATACCATAACAACAACATTATATTCTCTCAACAGCTCTGCCTACAGCTTATTCGTGGGAACTGTATGTATATTATGTATGCTGGATTACGTATTATGTATGTATATTATGTACGTGCTCCATTTATGTATTATTCATTCAGCCTAGCTAGCAGCGTGTGGCAATGTTATTACCATATCCCACATGCTTAATTAATGTGCCTGGCGACGTATGGAAGCTGCTAATGTATCACTTGCCATACGTCGTCTATGGTAGTTGACCAGGACCTTAGCTAGGGAGCAGTGCTATCCACCTCTGTGTACATACTCTTATCCAGTAAACCGAACCTACAAAACTATACAGGTGTTTGTGTTCTCTCCTGTATATAGAACTTATTACCCAGAACATCTAACATGGCGCAGTGCGTAGTTTTACTGGATTATTACGAGTGATTAGTGCAAGTTTGTGGAAAGCCGGCTGATGGATCCCCGCCTTGGGTCAACCCCGCGTCATCCCTCGAAGAATTTCGCAACTTTGAGCAGTGTCAGTGACAGTGATTTTCTGTGAAGTGTTTAGTGCATTGTGTGTTTCGTGCCATTCATGTGTGACCTTGTTCGAACGGATTTCCAAGGTATACGGCATGTTCTGGGCATTTGTGGGGTGTAGAGCTCAGCGCACCCTCCTCTGACCGTTTACAGAGAGCGACTGAGCTACTCCTATCTCCACCCCCCTCCCTCACAGCGCCGCCTCCACCCCCCCTCACAGCTGGGGCGAGACGCTCTGCCTGCCTGGGACACACACACATACATGTACTAACACTTGCTGACCGCGCGGCTTCATTATATATATTTTATATATATAACCTACTTATCTGTGTATTTAATTAAATTTTTTGTCTGAAATCTTGTTGATACGACGGGCTGACCGGTCAACACTGATTTAAGACACAGTACACAGATAAAGTAGTTATGTCTCATGCCTTACGTAGCCGTGGACCCAGCGCCTGGATGAGTCAAGCGGATGATAGTCCCCCAGAGATGGATGACCAGGCCGGCCCAGCTCCCACAACATCGCGCAGCCCTTCACCTCAACATTCAGCGTTATCTCCAGAGATAATTGCCTTAATGAAGTTTATGAGAGATGAGAGACGCGAGGATGAAGCTCACAGACGTTTGGCGGATGAGCACAGAAGGCAAGCAGAGGCAGAACGAGACCACCAACGGAGAATGGAAGACAGTGCACGGTTTGAAGCCTTGATATCTCGCCTCACTGTTAACCAAGCCCCTGGCTCTAACACTGCCTCGGTACTGAATGGTTCAGATACCTCATCCATGCTTCCTTCACGCCCCCCAGCCCCACCTAAAGCAGCAGCTCAAACGCCGCCCATCTTGGAGCCTGATGTAAATTTCCAGACTTTTCGCGAATGGCGGCGGCGGTGGGCTGATTATGCTACAATGGTGGATCTCCAGAGTTTGTCACAGCCTAAACAACTCATCCAGCTGCGTATGTGCCTGTCCTTGGAAGTTCAGCGTGTCTTAGAACATACGTTGCAGGTACCCCCAACCTCTTCGCTGTCTGTAGAGGAGGTACTGGACGTTCTACAACGGCACATCAAAGGACAGCAGAATGAAGCTCTGCGCAGGAGGGAATTGTTTAGCTGCAGACAGATGGAGGGTGAGTCTTTTGACGCTTTTTATGTACGTCTTAAGAGAGCCTCGGAAGAGGTAGATATATGTTTAGGCCACCACCAGCAGTGCGAGGAGACCCAGTTGAAGCAGGTGATCCTGATGGGTGTTAAGGACGAGGAACTTGTCCAACGCCTCACCTCCCTCGACTCTTCCTCTTCTCTTCAGGATGTGTTGACGATATGTCGCTCCTATGAGGCTGCCAGGTGTGCCACCTCTGCCATCCGAGCTCCCCCTACAGCTGTACGCGCTGTTTCCCGGTACAAGAAGGACAAGAAGTCTGCTCCTACGCCTTCGCCCACCACGTCCACGCCCGGTTCATTTTGCAACAACTGTGGTAAGCAGCACGGAACACAGGTATGTCCAGCTGCTCAGTCTACCTGCAACAGTTGTGACCGTATGGGCCACTGGTCGCTCACAGTGCGGTGCCCAGCTAAGTACGTACAGTGCAATGTGTGCGGTCGTCTGGGCCACTATGACAAGTGTTGCCCTACCCACGAACCCAAGGGACAGCGTCGGCGGAAGCTTCGGCGCCCTTCTACCAGTGAGGGCCGCCCACAGTCGCCAAATCAGAGGCACGACGACCCGGACAAAGCCCGACCCATTTTAGGAGGGTGTACTCCTCGCATCCCAGGACCAAAGTCCCCCAGTACATCAGCGTCATCGTGACCTACGGCGGTGTGTCATCCCGTCTTCAGATGTTGCCCGACACCGGCGCTGATGCTACAGTCATCGGTCCCCAGCATTTGCGATGCTTGGGGCTCTCTCCAAGCGATCTAGGACCGCCTCCCGAGGACATCTGCGTCACGGCAGATGGTTCACAGATGGCCCCAGCCCTGGGTTCACTCTATGCACATGTCACCTTTGGCAACAGGTCGTGTCAGGCCTGGATTGACGTGCATAATGGTGTCCCGACTCCCTTGCTGTCCTACAGACATTGTCAAGAGTTGGCCATCATCTCCCAGGACTTCCCAACACCGATTCTCGAGGTAAATTACGCCAACAGGGTGCATGAAGGGAGCAGCAACTACCCTGCTGCCGCCCTACCCCTACCTCTGGCCAGTGACACCTCTCCTTCGGTAGTTGTCCCTGCTGCATCACGTCCCCACGCCTTGGCTCGCCTTCACGACAGTCACCGTGGAGCTGAGGCCACCAAACGACGTGCACGACAGACTGTGTTCCGGCCTGGCATCGACCCCGACATCTCCAATGCTGTCCAGGTGTGTAAGCCCCGCCACGTATTACAACCCAGCCAGCAGCAGGTACCCTTCATGAGTGACGACAACCCCACCCGCCCCTTTGAGTCTGTGTCGGCCGACTTTTTCTGTGTGTCAGGAAAGTCCTTCCTGGTTATCGTCGACCGTCTCTCTGGTTGGCCGGTTGTCATCAAGGGCGGTAATGACACGACGTCTGCCGCCACCATCAGCAAGTTCCGCCACTACTTCCGTGACGTGGGCGTTCCTGTACGCCTGCGAACCGACGGAGGGCCTCAGTTCACAAGCCGGGACTTTGCTGCGTTCCTTGACCGATGGGGAGTCCGGCATGTGTTGTCATCGCCCCATTACCCGCAGTCCAACGGCCACGCTGAGGCTGCTGTCAAATCTTTGAAGCACCTCATCCTTAAGGTGGCCCCTTTTGGGAATATTGACTGCGAGGCCTTCGACCGGGGTCTTCTTGAACTCCGCAACACACCCAACTACACCGGACGCTCCCCTGCCCAGGTTTTGTATGGACGCCCCCTTCGTTCTTGTGTCCCTGCTCACCCTCAATCCTTCTCCAAGGAGTGGCAGGCCAAGACAGAGGATTGTGATCGCCGAGCCGCCGAACGTGTTCAGGACGTCGTCGCCCGCTACAACGACCACGCCCGTTCTCTCCCCAGGTTGAGTGTCGGCACCCAAGTCCGTGTTCAGGACCCGACCTCCCTACGTTGGGACAAAGTAGGCGTAGTCATGGGTCTCGGTAGGTCACGGGACTACCAGGTGCGGTTACCCAGTGGTCGTGTGTGGTGGAGGAACCGCCGTTTTCTCCGCCCCGTAACACTGCCTTCTGCTGGCCCCGCCACCAGTGTTGAGTCCCATACCCTTCCCAGTGATGAAGTCCCTCGACGCTCAGAACGGATCCAGAAGAAAAGGTCCGCTCAAGACTTTGCTATGAGCGTATAGGGGGGAGGGAGGTGTATGTATATTATGTATGCTGGATTACGTATTATGTATGTATATTATGTACGTGCTCCATTTATGTATTATTCATTCAGCCTAGCTAGCAGCGTGTGGCAATGTTATTACCATATCCCACATGCTTAATTAATGTGCCTGGCGACGTATGGAAGCTGCTAATGTATCACTTGCCATACGTCGTCTATGGTAGTTGACCAGGACCTTAGCTAGGGAGCAGTGCTATCCACCTCTGTGTACATACTCTTATCCAGTAAACCGAACCTACAAAACTATACAGGTGTTTGTGTTCTCTCCTGTATATAGAACTTATTACCCAGAACATCTAACAGGAACAAGATGGACTTGACCGTCAACTGTCGAACATATTGAACTCACTGAAGGAATCTCAAGAGTATTACTTCTTTGGAGTAAGAAAGAACTCGACCGATGACGGTAAAATTTTCTTCGAAATCACAGACGGCAGTACAACTCTTGTCCATGTAGTGATGATTGTCTCACTTACATTACTTGTATTATTATTATTATTATTAACCATTCCTAGTTGATTTAGTACCATAAGCTGGTAAAGTGGGGGAGCTGTATGAAATAGCTGTAAAGATAAAGAGCTTCAATATACTGAAGACACCACATGCAGGTATTGTTATCAGTAATAGTAAGTGTTGTATACATCTAAAATACCTTAATGTAAGACAAATACAATGATAAAATACAATAAATCAGGTAAATGAAATACAGCAAGCTCTTAAAATTTGTGAGGGTTTGGATCTCAAAATGGCCATGAATAACATTTGCCCTTAGGACAATTATTTTTTTTTACCTGTATTGTGTGCAGACACATATACACTACAGGTAAAAGAAATTACTGTGTATAAAATAAATGGCTCCCTGTCCCGGCTGATAACAAGTGTCCACAGACATTGTTGGGTATGGTTGAGAGTTAACAAAGAGCTGCTGTGTTATCTACCTTGCAGGACCAACACCATTGTCTCCTGTACAACACTGAGTATACCCAACAGAACCTAAGACAATATACCATAACAACATTATATTCTCTCAACAGCTCTGCCTACAGCTTATTCGTGGGAACAAGATGGACTTGACCGTCAACTGTCGAACATATTGAACTCACTGAAGGAATCTCAAGAGTATTACTTCTTTGGAGTAAGAAAGAACTCGACCGATGACGGTAAAATTTTCTTCGAAATCACACAGACGGCAGTACAACTCTTGTCCATGTAGTGATGATTGTCTCACTTACATTACTTGTATTATTATTATTTTTATTAACCATTCCTAGTTGATTTAGTACCATAAGCTGGTAAAGTGGGGGAGCTGTATGAAATAGCTGTAAAGATAAAGAGCTTCAATATACTGAAGACACCACATGCAGGTATTGTTATCAGTAATAGTAAGTGTTGTATACATCTAAAATACCTTAATGTAAGACAAATACAATGATAAAATACAATAAATCAGGTAAATGAAATACAGCAAGCTCTTAAAATTTGTGAGGGTTTGGATCTCAAAATGGCCATGAATAACATTTGCCCTTAGGACAACTATTTTTTTTTACCTGTATTGTGTGCAGACACATATACACTACAGGTAAAAGAAATTACTGTGTATAAAATAAATGGCTCCCTGTCCCGGCTGATAACAAGTGTCCACAGACATTGTTGGGTATGGTTGAGAGTTAACAAAGAGCTGCTGTGTTATCTACCTTGCAGGACCAACACCATTGTCTCCTGTACAACACTGAGTATACCCAACAGAACCTAAGACAATATACCATAACAACAATATTATATTCTCTCAACAGCTCTGCCTACAGCTTATTCGTGGGAACAAGATGGACTTGACCGTCAACTGTCGAACATATTGAACTCACTGAAGGAATCTCAAGAGTATTACTTCTTTGGAGTAAGAAAGAACTCGACCGATGACGGTAAAATTTTCTTCGAAATCACACAGACGGCAGTACAACTCTTGTCCATGTAGTGATGATTGTCTCACTTACATTACTTGTATTATTATTATTTTTATTAACCATTCCTAGTTGATTTAGTACCATAAGCTGGTAAAGTGGGGGAGCTGTATGAAATAGCTGTAAAGATAAAGAGCTTCAATATACTGAAGACACCACATGCAGGTATTGTTATCAGTAATAGTAAGTGTTGTATACATCTAAAATACCTTAATGTAAGACAAATACAATGATAAAATACAATAAATCAGGTAAATGAAATACAGCAAGCTCTTAAAATTTGTGAGGGTTTGGATCTCAAAATGGCCATGAATAACATTTGCCCTTAGGACAATTATTTTTTTTTACCTGTATTGTGTGCAGACACATATACACTACAGGTAAACGAAATTACTGTGTATAAAATAAATGGCTCCCTGTCCCGGCTGATAACAAGTGTCCACAATCATTGTTGGGTATGGTTGAGAGTTAACAAAGAGCTGCTGTGTTATCTACCTTGCAGGACCAACACCATTGTCTCCTGTACAACACTGAGTATACCCAACAGAACCTAAGACAATATACCATAACAACATTATATTCTCTCAACAGCTCTGCCTACAGCTTATTCGTGGGAACAAGATGGACTTGACCGTCAACTGTCGAACATATTGAACTCACTGAAGGAATCTCAAGAGTATTACTTCTTTGGAGTAAGAAAGAACTCGACCGATGACGGTAAAATTTTCTTCGAAATCACACAGACGGCAGTACAACTCTTGTCCATGTAGTGATGATTGTCTCACTTACATTACTTGTATTATTATTATTTTTATTAACCATTCCTAGTTGATTTAGTACCATAAGCTGGTAAAGTGGGGGAGCTGTATGAAATAGCTGTAAAGATAAAGAGCTTCAATATACTGAAGACACCACATGCAGGTATTGTTATCAGTAATAGTAAGTGTTGTATACATCTAAAATACCTTAATGTAAGACAAATACAATGATAAAATACAATAAATCAGGTAAATGAAATACAGCAAGCTCTTAAAATTTGTGAGGATTTGGATCTCAAAATGGCCATGAATAACATTTGCCCTTAGGACAATTATTTTTTTTACCTGTATTGTGTGCAGACACATATACACTACAGGTAAAAGAAATTACTGTGTATAAAATAAATGGCTCCCTGTCCCGGCTGATAACAAGTGTCCACAGACATTGTTGGGTATGGTTGAGAGTTAACAAAGAGCTGCTGTGTTATCTACCTTGCAGGACCAACACCATTGTCTCCTGTACAACACTGAGTATACCCAACAGAACCTAAGACAATATACCATAACAACATTATATTCTCTCAACAGCTCTGCCTACAGCTTATTCGTGGGAACAAGATGGACTTGACCGTCAACTGTCGAACATATTGAACTCACTGAAGGAATCTCAAGAGTATTACTTCTTTGGAGTAAGAAAGAACTCGACCGATGACGGTAAAATTTTCTTCGAAATCACACAGACGGCAGTACAACTCTTGTCCATGTAGAGATGATTGTCTCACTTACATTACTTGTATTATTATTATTTTTATTAACCATTCCTAGTTGATTTAGTACCATAAGCTGGTAAAGTGGGGGAGCTGTATGAAATAGCTGTAAAGATAAAGAGCTTCAATATACTGAAGACACCACATGCAGGTATTGTTATCAGTAATAGTAAGTGTTTAATATGCATCTAAAACACCTTAATGTAAGACAAATACAATGATAAAATACAATAAATCAGGTAAATGAAATACAGCAAGCTCTTAAAATTTGTGAGGTTTGGATCTCAAATGGCCATGAATAACATTTGCCCTTAGGACAATTATTTTTTTTACCTGTATTGTGCAGACACATATACACTACAAATAAAAAATTACAATAATATAAAATAAATGGCTCCCTGTCAGCTGATAACAAGTGTCCACAGACATTGTTGGGTATAATTGAGAGTTAACAAAAGAGCTGCTGTGTTATCTACCTTGCAGGACCAACACCATTGTCTCCTGTACAACACTAGGTATACCCAACAGAACCTGAACAATATACCATAACAACAACATTATATTCTCTCAACAGCTCTGCCTACAGCTTATTCGTGGGAACAAGATGGACTTGACCGTCAACTGTCGAACATATTGAACTCACTGAAGGAATCTCAAGAGTATTACTTCTTTGGAGTGAGAAAGAACTCGACCGATGACGGTAAAATTTTCTTCGAAATCACACAGACGGCAGTACAACTCTTGTCCATGTAGTGATGATTGTCTCACTTACATTACTTGTATTATTATTATTTTTATTAACCATTCCTAGTTGATTTAGTACCATAAGCTGGTAAAGTGGGGGAGCTGTACGAAATAGCTGTAAAGATAAAGAGCTTCAATATACTGAAGACACCACATGCAGGTATTGTTATCAGTAATAGTAAGTGTTGTATACATCTAAAATACCTTAATGTAAGACAAATACAATGATAAAATACAATAAATCAGGTAAATGAAATACAGCAAGCTCTTAAAATTTGTGAGGGTTTGGATCTCAAAATGGCCATGAATAACATTTGCCCTTAGGACAATTATTTTTTTTTACCTGTATTGTGTGCACACACATATACACTACAGGTAAAAGAAATTACTGTGTATAAAATAAATGGCTCCCTGTCCCGGCTGATAATAAGTGTCCACAGACATTGTTGGGTATGGTTGAGTTAACAAAGAGCGGATGTGTTATCTACCTTGCAGGACCAACACCATTGTCTCCTGTACAACACTGAGTATACCCAACAGAACCTAAGACAATATACCATAACAACAACATTATATTCTCTCAACAGCTCTGCCTACAGCTTATTCGTGGGAACAAGATGGACTTGACCGTCAACTGTCGAACATATTGAACTCACTGAAGGGATCTCAAGAGTATTACTTCTTTGGAGTAAGAAAGAACTCGACCGATGACGGTAAAATTTTCTTCGAAATCACACAGACGGCAGTACAACTCTTGTCCACGTAGTGATGATTGTCTCACTTACATTACTTGTATTATT